GTAAGTGGTTAGGGCTGGGATTTAGCTCAGTGGTTCTGCCGCCTGCCTTGCAAGCATAAGGGCCCAAGTTCAATCCCCAGTACCAAAATAAATAAATAAAAAATAAAATAAGTGGTTAGGAAAGGTCTCACATGGAAGTGATTTGATTTTCAACTGATGTGACATGTAGCCACTAGAAGGTTGGGGATAGAGTGCCTAGGCAGAAAGAGCAGGTCATGCAAAGATACTGAACAGGGAATCAGGGTTGGAGTATTCATGGAGCAGAAAATAAGCTGGTGTCTGGAGCATAATGATGGAAGTTGCTGATGGGTCAAGAGTAAAGAGGGCAGGAAATGAAGGCGAGATGGCTACTATAGGTATTTTACTTGAAAACTGCTATGGTTTGTGTTTAGATGTGCCCCTAAAGCCTCATGCACATGAGGTGGGACTTTCTTTTTCAGAGGTAGTTGAATCTGGAATATGTGATACTGGGGTTAAGGGTGTGTGATTACTAAACCACTACATGTGAGAGATTAGTTTGGCACTGCACTAATCCCAGTAATCTGAATAAGATCAAAGGGGCAGAAAGATGCTGTTAAACTCCCTTGTTGGATTTTGCTGTCTTCCGCCACCATGAACCATTCCCCTTGTTGCCTTTGCTACCTTGTGCATGCCACGTTCTTTCTCCTCTGCAATGCTTGTTTGCCATCCCAGCCTTGGGGCCAGCCAATTATGGACTGAAACCTCAACAAACTGAAAGCCAAAGGAATCCCTTTCCCCTTCAACTTTAGGTCCTGGGTATTTTGTCTCAGCAATGAGAGAAAAGTAACTAACACAAAAACCAAAGAGATGCTATTGTAGTGTTTTGAGCAGGAAATGGCATGCACAGAATTATAACACAAAAAAGGGGGACCGGTTGTGAGGCTATTGAGTCATTCTGCCCAGAGATGGTGGTGGCTTGGTGCAGTGGATGCATCCAGATACATTTTCAGCATAAAGCTGAGTGACCAGGTATGAAGTACAAAAGGAAAGGAAGAATTCAATATGACTCCAGTTTTGCTCTGAACAGTTGAGTGATTTGAGTGTTTTTTGAAGAGATAGGAAGAATGGGGAAGAAACAGATTTGGTAAGGAAGGAAGACCAAGAATTTCCCTTGATCACATTAACTTGGAGATGCTGATTAAACACACAATGTAGGTGTTAAGTTGGCAACTGGATACATGAGGGGCTTTGTGGAAAAGGTAGAATAAAGACATGCTTGATCAACATGTATGTTTCCATACTTTCCTGCACTGAAAGATTCCTACACCAGTCAGTCACTTTTAGGCTACAGGAGAAAAAGGTCGAAGACTGAGTTGATGACAATAAACAGGATGGGATGCCAACTGAGGGTATAGAAATTAGAGGATCTAGATTCCAATTCAAGCTTTCCACTTGCTAGTCATCTAACCTTGACTCACACATATTTGTGATCTGAAACATGGAGTTATAAGAAAATAGATGAGAGTAATTGCTCTATGGCTATTAACTGAATCAATACTTCTTTTTTTTTTTTTTTTTTTTTTTTTTTTGAGACAGGATCTCACTTTGTAGTTCAGGTTGGCCCTGAACTCACTATGTAGCCCAAGCTGGCCTGGAACTCACGGTGATCTTTCCTGCCTCAGCCTCCTGAGTACTGGGATTATGGGTGAGCATCACCAAGCCCAGCTTGAATCCGTGTTGACCATGTATTTATACTGAACAGCAAGGGATGTATATGAGCAAATATTAGGCAAGTAGGTGGCTTGTCAAGAGAAGAAAAGGACCATCCCATGGCCACCCTCAGTCACACCCATTCTAGCAGCATCACAAAAATGGAACTGGCTAGAGAAGATTGGAGAATCCTGATCCATATCTCTTTCTATAGCATCCGGAAGGAGAGGCACAATCACAAGTGTGCTTAACAAATTTTAACAAAAGCTACTTGTAACTCCAATTCAGACAAATGAAGTAAAATACCTTGCTTCTCTTCTGTTTAGGGTTTTTCCTTTTCAAAGGAAGTAATGAATGTGGGTTCCTTTAATCTGTATCTGTGTGGTCTCTGTTACTACCATACTCTGTAAGCCCAACAATGTCTTCCCATGATTCCAGAGACTTCAGTACCTCACACTTCCGTTTTGGAGGATTCTATACCTAGTTCAGACACATGCTGCCTTGCACTCCAGGGCAGTTGGTCTCCAACGTATCCATGGGTCTTTTGGAGAGCAGGGTATCTCAAAACCCTTTCAGAGGATCTGAAAGTTCAAAACTATTTTCATAAAATTTCAGTGTGTTTTTGGTTTTTCGTTTTGTGTTTTGCCTTTTTTACAGTGTTAATGTTTGCATAAAGGTCAAAAAGCAGTGGCAAGTGCTGGCCCCTTGGCCTGAACCAAGGCTCCTTTACAGTTAATCCTTATATTCATCACTTCCATATTGTCTCATTTAAAAAAGCAACATTCACTTGAGAATGCTCTTAGAGATGCAGTAAAGGTATTAATTTTATTAAATTTCAATCCTTGGGTGAACATCATTAGTATTTTGGGAAATATTGAAGCATGATGGTTGTCATCTGGAAAGCACATGTGTAATTGATTCCAGGAGTGGCAAGGGAAGCTTTTCTATAGAATATTATTTTCATCAGAAGCAACAGCTAACAAACACACCGTGGGTACTCAGATGTAACACTTGGCAGAAGGTTTCTCATAAATGGATAAAGTGAGCCTGTCAATTTATGGAAAACAATAGACAAAGTTTGTTGTCAATAATAAACTTTGATCTTTCAAATGAAAATTGGAATTTTGGAAATTTTGCATTTGATACTGTAGGCTTGAGGTTTTTTACTACCATAAGATTTTTCTAGCCAGACATGGTGCCACATATGTGTAATCCCAGCACTTGAGACACTGGGCAGGAAGATCGTCTCAAGTTTGATAGACTTCAAGGCCAGCCTGAACTGCATAGTGAGACCCTATTTCAAAAGAAAAATTTTTTTCTAGTGGAATTGGTGGTAATATGATTGAAAAATGAAATCTGAATTAAAAAATCTGATCTTTTAAATGATCTGCAGAACTAGTGAACCGGTATTTTCCAAGTGACCAGTGCATGGCATTACATAATTACATTTGGATAAAAGATCCATTCAAAGTGCAAAACAGACCAATGGATTTTAGTGGAACAGTATGGAAAGTTAATTGATATGCTCTCAGATCCATATTACAGCTAACCTCTAAGTAACTACTGCTTGTCAAACTCTGATGTAACATCAAAGAAGAATATCCACAATTTTCTTTCAAAGCCACTTAAATGCTCCCTTCTTTCCCAACTGTGTATCTGTGTGAAGCTGGATAATATATACTTCACAAAAGCATTTTACCACAGATTGTAAGCAGATGAACGTATGCTTCATAAAGTCAGACATTAAAGAGATTTGCAGAGCTGCTTTTTTAAATGCCAGTCTTTTCCCTGTCCTTCATCTTGGAAAATATATTTTTTATAAAAATAAGTTGTTTATGTGAGCAAGTAATTTTTTTTATTTATGAAGGTGAGACAATGGGTATTGAACCCAGGGGCCCTCCACCACTAAGCTATAAGCCTAGCCCTTTTCACTTTTTATTTTGAGACAGGGTCTTACTAAATTGTCCAGGGTGGCCTCAAATTTGCAGTCCTCCTGCCTCAACCTCCTGAGTAGCTGGAATTACACTGTGCTCAGCTTTACTTCTAAAGTTCTAAATATATAGTAACATTTAAATATTTAAATATTTCAACACATTTAACTTCTAAATATTTAAATGGATCTTCAGACCCCTCCACACCCAAAGTGTGTGTGTGTGTGAACACACATTGTTCATTGTGTAGGGAAGGGAATCAGTGTATGGGGTGAGAAGCTGCAGGGAGAGAATTAAACCAGGAAATTAGAAACATTCCCTCTGCCATAGTTTCCCAATTTGTGAATTGCAACAATTTAGCTATCACAAGGCAGGCTTCTGTGAGTCATGTGTACTAACCCTGTTTAATATCCTTACTGAGTTATCTTTCAATGTGGCTTTTTGAAAAACACATTAGCAAAAGCTGGGGGTTTGAACTGGAGCCATGCCCTAGAAACCACCAGTTTACCAGTCACCTCTTACCCTGGTTCTAGGGGAAGTAGGCAGGACGAGTGAATGAGGTCCTGTCCAGCCTTGAGTTCTCATCCGTCATGGGACTGATTCAGCCACAGGGTTCCTGGGATGCCAGCCCCTGGGTTTCCAGGAAATTGCTGGCCACTTGTCCACAGAAAGCTGGTTATCCTGCCTTCTGCTACTGCCCTTATATTATTTCATGAATTTGCTTCTACAGCAACCAAGAGGGAACATAAGAGAAGAAATGCTATCCTCTGATTCCAGAACTTTTTTCCAAGGCTGCATATGGCCTCCCCATCTCTGGATCCTGCTGTCTGGGTGTTTCTAAGGCTCTCTTCTTGAGGAAAAGATTTGGGTTGGGGGGATTCTTCAACCTCACTGTTTCTCCCAAGACAAAAATATTCCTTCTTCCTCCTCCATCAACCATCAGAGACTGGGCTTTGTGGGAAACTTCATGTAGGTAACTTCTATTTTGTCCCTACCAAAAATTCTCTCTGAATAAGGAAGGGAATTGCTGTGTACTCAAATGAAGAAAGACATGTGTTATAAATAGTTGAATGGGGAAAATGATGGAAATTCAGAGAGTGAAAAATACTAATATTTAAACTGTTATACTGCTACATTTTCTCCTCAGTAAACCCAAGTCCTTACAAATACAAGTCCTCCCCACCCCATAGGCCCCTGACCCCCATTCCTCTGCATCCAACAATAGAATTAATAAAGGATCAGCTCCACATTCCTCTCTAGTTTGGATTTTCTTGGATTCCCACTGAAAAACCAACCTTTTCCACCTCTCAGGAGGTCATTTCCCTAGGCCTGCTAGAGATAAGGAGCTGAGTCATGTGCCTGGTGAACACTCAGGGGTACCTCTCGAGCCCATCTTCTCTTGAAGATGCTCCTCACTCTGGCTCTGTCCCCACCGCCCTCAAGGCCGAGACAAGCCCTTGCTGAAAGCTTCCAGGCTGCCTATGTATCCAAGCATAGACAAGGAATTCTTCAAGTCCTCCAAAGTCCATCATCTGTCCTTTCTCCCCACCTTCTTCACACTGGCTTTCTGTCCCTCAGCCCCACCATGCCCTCCTCTTCTGCAGGGCCACCCTTGAGTGCCTCCTTATAGAGGGGCTGTCCTTGACGATGACGAAGGAGGTGAACTTACCATGTCTTCTCCATCATTACCTTTCATTCCCTTCATAGTACGTATCAAAAATCTCTAATGACCTTGTTTGGGTTCTCTGTTCATTTACTCACTAACTCTGTGTCACCACTGAAATGTGACTTCATGAGGACAAACGTGGCCTGCTTCAAAGAGTACCTGCACATCATAGTCACTCAATGAACCCCTGTGAGCAAGTGACTGACAGTGAATGGGTTCAAGAAAAATCCTTCTCCATGCATGTCTATTCTGAAGAAAAGAAAACGCTGCCTTTACCCAAAATAAAAACCTTTGTCTTTCTCTGAAAACTGTCTCCCAAAACTTTGGAGACCAAAACTAGGAAAGGAAGTCCCTTTCAGTAAACCATTTCTGCTTTTCATCCTGAAAAAAAAGCCAGCTGAAGGGGTAAACGGGGTGTTGGCTGGTTATTTTACTGCTGAAGAGGGGGAAGACTAGGAAAAAAAAAGGGGAAGTGCAAGTTGGAACTCCAGGTTAATTTCTCTAAATGTTGACCCACACACCTAGAAGGAAGATGTCATTACTGGTGGCTCCTGCTGGCCCTGTGGGTGTCCGGGTGAAAACTGCCTGCCTTTCACATAAAGGGGTTGGCGTCAATTCAATCAGCAGGCTGGCCTGGTTGCTGCTCCTGGACTCATGTCTAAACAGGACTCGGCCTTCAGGCAACCACAGGGGCGGGGGTGTCTGCGGATGGCAGCCCAATCCCGGCAGCCTCGAGGTGGGGGAGGATTCTGTTCCTTCTTAAGCTCCAGTAATTCAAGGCAGGGCTAGAAAGTCAGACAGAGAGCCACCCCTCAGATCTCCACCTGTCCTTCCACAGCCAGGAAGAAGAGTATAGTCTGTCCCACAGCTAAGGAGCAGAGACCAGCCCCACACCTCTGCCACCACGCCACCCACACCCTGCCAGCATGGCCAACCAGCTGACTGAGGAGCAAATCGCTGAGTTCAAGGAGGCCTTCTCTCTGTTTGACAAGGATGGGGATGGCTGCATCACCACCCAGGAGCTGGGCACTGTCATGAGGTCCCTGGGCCAGAATCCCACTGAGGCTGAGCTTCAGTGCATGGTAAATGAGATCGACCGGGATGGAAACGGCACAGTGGACTTCCCAGAATTCTTGAGTATGATGGCCCGGAAGATGAAAGACACAGACAGTGAGGAGGAGATCCGGGAGGCCTTCCGCGTGTTCGACAAGGATGGCAATGGCTATGTCAGTGCCTCTGAGCTGCGGCACGTGATGACCAGGCTGGGGGAGAAGTTGAGTAATGAGGAAGTGGAGGAGATGATCCGGACCGCAGACACGGATGGAGATGGGCAAGTGAACTATGAGGAGTTTGTCCGTATGCTGGTGTCCAAGTGAGGCTCAAGAGGGGCTGCTGCAGCTTGTCACCCATCTGGCTGTGCCGTTGCCACCTTGTGCTGCAGTAAAAACCTCACTAAGGTTTCTCCTCCATTCCCAGCTTCTTCTGGACACTGTTGTCTCAGGCAAAGTGGGTTCAAATCTCACCTTTTCCAGCTTCTTTTCTGCTAACTGCCTACCTGCTCATCTTGCATGATGCAAAATACTGTCATGCTGAGCAAACTGTACCTCTCCCATGGCTCAAGGGTAGAAGTAGAATGAGCTGTCTCTGTGTGGACAAAGAGCCAAAGGACTTGCAAAGTCTTCACTGCTGTACACCAGGATGGGTCCAGTGACACTTTAGAACCTCTTGTGCAAACGCAGAACCAGGGGAACTGTAGCCTTCAGTCCATGCCAGAATTTCTTGGACTGAAGACTCCATCTACTGTCACATTTGAGCGACATCTTGGCCTTGGAATAGGGAATGCTGATAAAGACAGGCCACTGAGGTCAGGCCAGCTCAAAAAATCTCTTCCTTCTACATAGCACTTGCTTGCTCCAGTCTGTCTTTGCCAGATCTCTGTGATTCATCTTTTGAAGTTAGGAGTAAAACTGGGATCAGTTGTAACATGTTTATATTCATCTAGAAGGGGAGAAATTTGAATGAAAAGGAGAGGGAAACTGCAAGAAATAAGACACTGGCATTCCTATTTTGTTTCCTTGTTTCTGATTCTAACTGTAATGAACCTGTTAAATCCAGGGCATAAATCAGACTGAAATCTCCACTTTTTGTGTGTGATTTTTGGGCATGCAATGAATTCCTGTATTTCTGGGCATAGCAAAGAGAGGGAGAGGGAGAGAGAGAGAGAGAGAGTAAATTTTGTATATTTTCTTGAATATAATAAATACCTTGGAGGAATAGAATAGTTGGAAATCCATGTAGAGCTCCTTAAAAGCCTGTGTTTATTACAGTAGAGGACCTCTGAAGATTGATTTTATTTTTATTTTCCTACAGCTGCTCTGGATGTTGTAAAGTGTCCAATGGTTAGAAGATCAATGAGAGGTCAGGGTGCTTCCTGTGAGACATTTCCAGCACAACATGGTGCAAAAGCAATCTAGAGATGAGTATCCTTGTCCACACCAGCCTCACCCAGAGGTCAGATCCTATCCAGATGCTGAGGGACCTCACTATTCCCCTGTAGGGAAGCTTCTGTTCTCACCTTCTTTGGAAGTCAAGACCCAGGGAATTTAAGAATCAGCCCAGGGTGACTAAATGGCAGAGCTGGATTTGAATCCAAATTTGTGCCCTGACCATTCTGCTACCCAGCCACTCATGCGCTCTGTGCATCCACTGTGATGGTTATAATAGTGCCTCTCTCCAGCACTGGGGAGGATAGGGAACAATATTCTTAACAGATCTGGAATGCAGCATGTGCTTACTAAATGATAGCTACTATTACCATCGCCATTAAGGAGCCCTTCCAGCTCTAGCACTGTGGTATAGCAATATATTTCCACCCCTACATGGCCCAGGGGACATGGATAGAGAGGGAATAGGAGCAGGCTCTCTCATGCCATCTTGGTTACTGAGGGGACACTGGCTGGTGGCATCTCAGGTAAGAACTGACCCTGGTGTCAATTCTCTTGCTGAGAGAGGGTCAAGCCTGGCTAGCTGAGCTAACCCTCCTACCCACTCAGAGTTGGAGTTGGTTGGACACCTCCTGGGACAAGCCCCATAAGTGCTTGCACAGAATGTCCAGAAGTCAATAGACAGCAGCTCCCTGGGATGGAGGGCAAAGCAGAAGAGCCAAGACAGAGGTTTGGTGGTAAGCCACAGAGCCACCTCCCAAAAGAAACATGACATCCCCTCCAGGGAAACACTCAGATCTCAGCATCTTTCATAGGGTGTCTCCTAAATTCTGTAAGAATGAAATAAATAGAGGTTTTCCATGGTCTCTCTAGTCACTGTAAAGGACCTGTCTAGAGAGTTGACATCAAATGCCCTTCTATTGAGGTATATGCTGAACAAGCTCTTGTAAGTATCTGGACCAACTCACTGTGCCAACTCTTTGACAAGGGAGTGGATGAAGGTGCCTTTTTGTGTTTCTCTCCCAGCCTTCTAGCAGTTCAGGTGAAACAGATCCTTTTTATTATGTCCTACTCTACCCTGGAAGCACACATGCCAGCATTGTATAGGCCTCATGCATGCATAATGCCTCTGTCTGGGCAGGAGCTAGCAGGAAGATGGAAAGGCCCCTACTTGCTCTCAGGCCAGAGCTGACAGGTCTCTGAACCTTCCTGTAAGCAGAGTGGTAATTAGTGGGGCTCCCTTATTCTGCCATAAGAACTCTGAAGCAGCAAGGTCAAGGTGGGACATATGGTAAAGCTGAATGTGTGTCATCCCTCCTCTTGGTATATTCTCTCCTGAGCACAATTTTTAAGAAATCCTCCTTTCTCAGGGAAGCATAGCCATCTAGCCAAGGTGAGTTCCTCCTGCTCAAGCTCATGGCTTGGCCCCTTTTCCAGCAGGGATAGCAGGAGCCACCAGTAATGACATCTTCCATCTAGGTGTGGAGGTCAACCTTTAAAGAAATTAACCTGGGGTTTCTCCTCCTTGCATTTTCCCTTTTTCCTCTTTTTTCCCTAGTCTTCCACCTGACAGGAATGCCAAGGCCAGAGGGAGACACAGTTGGGCTGCTGCTCTGACTCCATCCTCCCTTGATGGGGTCATGATTCCTTGGCGGGGGAGGGGGGTGCTCCACTGGTCTTGCCAATGGATCCAAAGCCCATAGCATATGTATGAGCCTCTCACTGGGGCTGGAAGCACCTTGGACATCAGGGCTGGCAGCAAACTCCTACACTCTGACTCATTTTTCCCAAGGCAATGTATCCCATCACACAACAGCCTCAGGATCCAGGGCAACCTGGGGTATACCTGTGCTTGTACTCTATCCCCTCAACATATAATTTATCTTCTATTCCCTTCTTCCTCCTCACCCTGACCAGACATCCAAAGAATCTGTCCTGTCCCTAGACACCAAGATAGATATTTTTATTGGCAAAATGCAGTCACCATAATTACAGGTGAGTTTCTTCCCCAATGAATAAGGGCAGGAGGAGATAGGGGAGGGAGCAGAGCAGCAGGAAGGAGCCACCAAGAAATCCCTGATGTGAAGGATACAAAAGAGGATCTGGCCTTGTGTCTGCAACAGACTCTGAGGCACACTTGCTCCTGACTAACAATTCCTTTTCCTTTCAGTCATTGAGTAACTGGATTTAAACAACCTCCCCTGAATCCCAAAAAGGTGCTGTCTGACTGGAGCTCTAAAAAATATTCCCTCTACCTTTTGGAGGAAGGAATTTATAAATATTACCTCGGCTTTCATGTGCTTTCCATCGAGCTCCCTCATAGATCAGGACTTGGGGTTCCTTTCCTCCCAGACTGTAAAAAGCACGCCTTTGATTCTCAGGTTTCCAATTTTAAATCAAACGTTGACTGTTTGATTGTTTGATTTACTGTTGGCTCCGTTTATCCTTATAGAATCCAATGGCCACTCCAAAGGCTTCCAGAACCAGCCAGCTAAAAGTGACCCATAGTTCCCACTGCAGAAATATAACATCCGAACTCATGTGTGTGGTGGAACTGCCATGTGCCAAGTGGTGAAGCACTAGGGAATGTGAGTTGTATTTCTCCACAAAAAAGGCAAAATATAAGAAGACAAAACCAAGAACTATCTCTGAGAAAGGTCTGAGCCCAACCTACATGCCATCCTCCCCATCATCCTGCTTTTTTGGTGGTTGTTTCTATGGCAACAGGTCCTCAGATAAGTGTCTGAACTAGAAAAGGGAGCTGAGCCTGGAGCCACTATGAAAAGTCTCCCCTGAGTCCCTTCCACCAGGTACAAGGATGGGTGCTGGGTGCTAGATGGAATGGGAACCTTCCTCAATGGGCAGGGAAGGGAAAGTCTTGAAAAAGACCTGAAACAATGGCAGGGTTTCTATAACCAGAAGAGAAAGTACATATGGGAACAATTACTGACCTGTCCAGGTATTAACACCCTCTCCAGGTCAGTTGCTTCTTTCTAGGGCACTCAGAAACATTCATAAAGGGAAAGGAGCCAGGAACTCAGTAAAGAAGAAGAGAGGCAAAATATTAGTTTGGTCAGGCCAGCTTGCAGTCCCCTAGGACTGCCCCACACACTTATATTGGAAGCCCAACATCCAGGAAGTGACAACAGCAGGTCAACCACATATGGCCCTGCAAGCGCACAGGTGAAATCCATCTTTCATTGTTGCCAGCTGAGCTGATTTCTCCTAAATCCCTGTGGAGCCTAAAGACTCCTGTCTGTAGATCTTTCATGATAGAGATGGAGTCCTCACTGGGACACATTGTCATGACATGATGTATTTACTACCAGTGGCGTTTGCTATTTAATCCTCAAAACACGTTGATGTAGTATCTACTTTTTTTTTTGGTACTGGGGATCGAACTCGGGACCTTGTGCTTTCGAGGCAGGCAGCAGCACCACTGAGCTAAATCCCTGGCCTAGTATCTACTTTTATTAGTCCATTTAAAGAAAAGACTGCTACTTTAGGTCTTTAACTTCCTCAAGATCATACATCGAGTGTATTAGTGTTTGGCCCTCCATCTGACTGGCTCCAAAGAGAACCTCTCAGAACAATTAGCATGGCCAATCTAACATAGGTTGCGAGTGCTGAAAGGGATCCTCTACAGAGATCTCCATAGGTAAGGCCCAGAAGTGGAGAGCAGTTGCCAGGAACAATTTATCTAGGCAGATAAGACCTAAAGAGAAAAAAAACCAAAAAAAAAATGATGGGAAATGGGTGTAGGTGTTTGCAGAACTAGTGTTGTCAAGTTATCCCCTCTCCCACATGAGACTTCTCATCTCACTGGCTCCCTTGACCTGGAACTGGAGGCCATGCAAATGCCTGGCTGCTAACCTGTGGAAATGGAGAGAATTCTGCAGTAGCCTATGTCTTTGTGACAATAAATCCTGATCAACTCACAGTTCTGTGCAGGTGCATTTCCCTGAACAAAATGGGGCATAACTCCTGGTCACTCACTGTTATCAAGTAGTTGAGAGGTATCTGGGTTTCACGACTTCTGAGGCAGAAAGAGGACTCTGCTTCCCACCCAAACTCACATCACAGGGATATAGATAATGGGCAACCAGAAAGACACATGTCCTCTGTTGTGGGTTGAATTATGTCTCCCCAAAATTCATGTGAGACCCCTAAATACTAATAACACAAAAATATGACCATATTTGGAGATAGGGTCTTTACAGAGGTAATTAAGTTAAAATGAGTTATTAGCATGAGCTTTAATATAATGTGATAGGTGTCTTTATAAGAAAGAGAAATTTTGACAAACAACTCATGCAGGGAAGAGAATGTGAAGGGACAAGGAGAAGATAGCATTCTATAAGCCAAGCAGAAAGCCCTAGGACAGATTCTCTATCACAGTCTTCAGAAGGAACCTACCCTGCCAACACCTTGATTTTGAATTCCAGATTCTAGAAATGTAAATACACTTCTGGGGTATTTTGTTGTTCTTAATTAAGATTATTGATGCAATTTAGATATACATAATGATCACTTTCATCATATGGAATTTGTACCTGTACATGATATATCTTTTTTTTATTGGTACATTTTAGGTATACAATATAATGACATTCATCATTGGAAATTTGCACCTTTACATAATCTCTCTTGGTTCTTATTTTTTCCCCTTCCCCTGCCCTCCCTTCAAAGCCTCCAT